AAATTTTTTGGGGGGGGGGCACCTGGGTGGCTCAGTGGGCTAAGGCCTCTGCCTCTGGCTAAGGTCATGGTCCCAGGGTCCTGGGATCAAGCCCTGCGTCTGGCTCTCTGCTCGGCAGGGAGCCTGCTTCCCTTCCTCTCTCTGCCTGCCTCTCTGTCTACTTGTGATCTCTGTCTGTCAAATAAATAAAATCTTAAAAAAAAAAAATTTTTGGTAGATGAGTTTTTCTAGTAAAGTAGAATATTAAATGTAATGATTTGATAAACACTTCTGCAATGAACAAAAAGAATTGATAAATTCTTGTTAGATGTTGCATGGACAAGATTAAAGGGGTGGTCTGCTTCAAGGAAATCACAGCTTATGGCTACACACAGTTCTCAGAATCTTAGTAAAAGACAGTTACTGGCAAAATACTATAGTAGGAGTCAAAAGAGGCACACCTGGGTGGCTTGGCTGAACGTTTAGCTTCAGCTCAGGTCATGATCCCAAGGTCCTAGGATCAACTCCTGCATTGGGCTCCCTGCTTCTGGGGTCCATCCCTGTATGGAGGGCAGTGGGGTGCTCAGCGGGGAGCCTGCTTCTCCCTCTCCCTCTGCCATTCCTCCTGCTTGTGCTCTCACCCTGTCAAATAAATAAATAAAATCTTAAAAAAAAAAAAAGGTCACAAAAGAGCTCTACCTTTTCTATTTTTGCTCCCTCCAGACTTGACCTCCAAAACCCCAAAGAATTAAGTCATACATGGTTATATCTATTTGACTTATTGCTACTACTAGGCAGTAAACAAAGATTGCTGATTGATTGGCTTTCAAATCTGTACTCCCTAAAATCAGTACAATCTTGGGCTTCCATCAACAAAAATACAGTTTCAGATCAAGGGAGTTAATACTTCAAATATCCACTTTGTGTCGTGTCCAGTTCTGGGTAGCATACCCAACTACAGAGAGATGGGAGGGTAATGGGATAGGGAATCAAGAGAGAGACCTAGGGCAGAAACAAGAGTGAGGGTTAAGCAATTGCTTATGATTAACTCAGAGAAGCTAAAACTTATGGATAAGACAAGACAAGGTCTCTGTCTGATGACTGAGGGCCAAAGACTTGGATGTGGGAAAAGCACAAACAAGGGCTGACTTGTTGCCTTGGGTTAGCTTGGCTGCCATCACTGGCAGCATGCACTTAGTTTAGATGAAATAAGGTCAAAGTTTTTTTCAAAAGTAATTTTTATTAGGAACAAGATTAAATTCCCAAACCTGCGTGAATAAGGTATATGAAGCACAGATTCGAGAGCCCAACTTCAGTGGCTAAAAATAGATTCATTTGACATAGCTGCAGGTCCATTTGGTTTTGCCTACGTCCTCTCTGAGCTGACACTAAGCAAAGATGCCCAGATGGATAGTTTGTGGTGGTTGTAGTTTGGCAGAACATGTGCTTGGCAGGTTTCCCAGTTTCTCCCTTAATTGCCATCCCAATCTTTTCTTTCTAGTATAGGCCAAAGTCATTTCCGGTGACCTTGGGTGTCACTGAGCTTCCCCTCTGCTTCTACTGCATTGCCCTTCCCTCTTTTTTTTTTTTTAAGATTTTATTTATTTATTTGGCAGAGAGAGATCACAAGTAGGCAGAGAGGCAGGCAGAGAGGGAGGAAGCAGGCTCCCCGCCAAGCAGAGAGCCTGACGTGGGACTGCATCCCAGGACCCTGAGATCATGACCTGAGCCGAAGGCAGAGGCTTAACCCACTGAGCCACCCAGGCGCCCTTGCCCTTCCCTCTTGATTGAGATACATTCTTATCTCGTCTCTGACAGTTCCTTCTCTCGACTTCAGACTAACACAGATCTTGCATACACACACACACACACACACACAATGACTCTCCTACAGTGACTTCGAATTCTTGAAATTAATACCTCTGACCCATTTATCTGTCCTATATTTCTTGCTCAAAGTATAGCCTCTGTGATTCAATCCTAGATGAATATTCTTGTAGGATCACCAAGTTGTAACCGACTTATCAAATGTATGTGTGACTAATTTTACATTTTTTAATTTTTTCTCTTTAGAATTCTAATAGTTGTTAATAAATAAAATCTTAAAAAAAAAAAAAGAATTCTGGGGCACCTGGGTGGCTCAGTGGGTTAAAGCCGCTGCCTTCGGCTCGGGTCATGATCCCAGTGTCCTGGGATCGAGCCCCGCATCGGGCTCTCTGCTCAGCAGGGAGCCTGCTTCCCTTCCTCTCTCTCTGCCTGCCTCTCTGCCTACTTGTGATCTCTGTCTGTCAAATAAATAAATAAAATCTTAAAAAAAAAAAAAGAATTCTAATAGTTGCAACCTCTGTGAAGAGAGATGTTTCAAGCAGATTCTGATTCTGAATGTTCACCTTTGTTTTCTTTAGGAGGCCATGACCGGAGTGGGTCCTCATTTTTATCCCTTTTCAGTAGGTTGTGCACATGAATTTGATTATTGGCCTCTCTTCAAAACTGGACTGATGAAATATTTTATCATCTATTGAGCCAAATAGTCATTTCACAAATGAAATGTCATATTGATCTCCTGAAAGCTTGCCAAACATTTACTTACATGGAATGGAAATTATGGTTTAATCTTTACTACATTCTGATTTTGTTCTGATGGTGTCTGTGGTTTCCCAGAGGTTCTTATTGTGATACTATTTTCATTTAAATGAGAACAGATTCTTTGTTTCCTTCAGAGGTTTCTAAGAAAATGTTTTCCCAAGAGAAAAACTGATTAAATAATATTTTAATTTAGAGGTTAAGGACGACAAAGGTTTGCCAGGACAAACAGAGAAGCATTAATGCATAGTGGTTAAGGACATGAATTTTGAAGTCAGACTGCATGGTCTTGATTCCCAGCTTTGCTCCTTGCAAGTTCTACGATCTCGGACATGTATAATTTCTCTGAGCTGTAGTTTTTCTTACCTGTAAACAGGGGCAAAGGAACCTAACTCAAAGAGCTGTTATGAGAATTAATGAATATGTAAAGCATTCAGGACCACAGCTGGCATAAGCCTACTACCAAGTTCAAATGTGGTCCTTATGTAGTCACTTCTTAGATTACTTTGCTGAATGAGTTCCTTTCTAATGAGTAAGAGGGTCCACTAATATTAGAAGATTGATGTTGAACCATTTATTTTCCCATCTTCTTTCCTTGCATATTTTCTTTCTTCACATCCTTCTACGGATAACTGGCTCAGGGGTGGGGGGACACAGGCTCTGAAGTCAGACGTGGATTCTGCTTTCACCCTAACTCTAGTCTTGGCTCTGCTGCTTATACTTTGCAGACTAGGTTAGTCCATAGACAGTTTCAGTTGCCAGGAGTTCCTTTTCTTGAGCTCCAGGCTGACTTGAGGTGAAGATCAAAGATTGTCTAGCCCTGAAGGACATCAGGAATTGTATATGCCATGTATGAATCCTTATGCCAGGAAATCATGGGAAATGGAAGTTACACTTCTCATTTATTCATACTCCCACCTAAGTGAGTTAAATTTGTTTTGTTTTGTTTTAATTTTAAGTAGGCTCCATGCCCAATGTGGAGCTTGAACTCACGATCCTGAGATTAGGAGTCACATGCTCTACTGACTGAGCCAGCTGGGACCCCTTAAGTTTGTTTTAGGGACACCTAGGTGGCTGGCTCAGTCGGTAGAGTGTGCAACTCTTGATCACGGGGTCTTGAATTTGAGCCCCACGTTGGGCATAGAGATTACTTTAAAAAATATATAGTGAACACTTCCAAGAAAAAATAGCTTTTTTGCCCAGCACAATAATTAGCAATTAACTAGACCTGCTACTGATTGTATTCAAAACTCCAGCCCTTATGCTAATGACTCTGGCTACGCTCTGCTAGCGCTCTATACCCCCTATTAATAAGAGATATGATAGAGCTAGAATGAAGTGTCTCATACCTACCCAGCAGAGACCACTTACCTCACCAGGGAGAGAATAGCCATGGAGTGATTCACGATAATTAATCGATGAGGAAGGGGGACTGGAGACCCCTCCAAGATCAATCTCCATTTTCCTTTTTATCCTGAGCTTTCTCTGTTTCCTATTATTTGGAATCATTGAAGAATTGTAGA